TTAATAGAGCAACTTAATATTTATAAGGATGCACATCCAGGGGCTATTTTGGACAAAAGAGAGCATGGAGACATATCAGCAGCAGTCTACAGTAGAAACTTTGGCAGGGATCAAAGAAGTTATGGCAATAACAATAGAGATAGAAATAATAGTGTACCTACCAGATGGACACCAGACAGATATAAATATAGCAGAAGCATGGAAAACAGGCCATGTTAAGTCTGAGTGTTTCAGCTTACAAAATAGAGATACATATCTCAGCAATAATAACAGAGGAGGTTAGGCACCTAATAATAATTATAGAAATCAAAGTAATTATTACAGACAAGGATATTATGGTGGACAAAGTAGAAATGAATTCAACAATCAAGTAGACAGCCAAGAATCAGACCAGAAAACAAGGGAGAAAATAAAAATATTAGAAATAACAATCAAGAGACATCAGCAGGGGTAGAAGGGTCAGAGACGGTGGCATCTGTTAGACAAAGGAATACAACACTGAAGATGTTCTCAGCTATAGTAAACAACATCAGAGTAATGTGCCTGAGAGATTCAGGTTGCACATGCATTATTATTAAGAAAAGTCTTGTAAGACCAGAACAGTACAATCCTGGCATAATAAAGTTGACATATGCCAACATGAAATTTAAGGATGAGTGTGAGATAGCAGGAGTTGATATAGATTCTGCTTGGTTTAAAAGTAAATATAAAGTGGCGGTCATAGAAGAACCAAAAGCAGATGTGATTATTGGGAATGGAAAGGAGGTGAAAGAAAGTAATGAGGAAGATATAGATAGATGGGCAAGTCAAATTGGAGCAGCGGTTGAGGCAAGAGCACAGAAACGAGCAAATCAGGGAAGTGTTCCCTGATTCGCTTGTTGACAATGAGGAAAGCAACACAGAATTAAAAGAAGATATAAATGAATGGATAAAACTTCAGGAAGAAGATAATACTCTCAAAAATATACTAAAAACATCAATACAAGTAACATAAATTTCAGGGGATCTAAGTACACTAAAGAAAATAATGTTTTAGTCAGGAAATATATTGATAACAAGAATAATGAAAAGACTCAGATAGTAGTGCCACAAACTATGAGAACAAAGATTTTACAACAAGCACATGACAGTCCATTGGGGGCACGCATGGCAGAAAAAAGTACATTTGAGAGAATAACTGAAGATTACTACTGCCCTTTAATGAAGGAAGACATAAAGAAACTCATAAAAAATGCACCATATGCATAAAATTCAATCCTGTTGATGGGAAACATAATGCACCTCTGCAACAGACAGATAGAGTTACAAGACCATTCCAGAAGATAGCAGTGGATATAGTCTGACCTATGGAACACCCTACTTCCCAGGGCCACAAGTTCATATTACCTATAGTGGATTGGGCAACCAGATGGCCAGAGGCAATACCACTTAGAGAGATTATAGCTGTAGCTATATGTGATGCTTTGATGAGTGTATGTACAAGATTCGGTTTCCTGATACGACATTATCAGACAATGGAACACAGTTTAAAGCCAAATTAACAAAGGCGTTCACAAGCTTCTTGAACATTGCACAAGTACATAATACCATATACCATGCACAAGCGAATGGTATGAATGAGAGATGGAATAAAACAATGAAGATTATGTTAAAAAATGTAACAGAGGATCCCCCAGGTGAATGGCACAAATATTTACCGCAGGTGCTATTTGCATACAGAGAGACTAAACATGAGTCAACAGGTTTTTCTCCTTTTGAACTGATATATGGGGTAAAGCCAAGAGGCCCATTAACTTTATTGAAACACAAATTATTAAATAAAAATTAAGAGGAATTTGATCCTCATGAACAAGTAAACCATACTAGTTTATGGTGTCCAGACAGCCCAAGAGAATGCACAGTTAGCCAGTGAAAGGCACAGAAATATAAAAAAACAAACATAGATATTTAAGAACTTTTGAATGAGGAGATTTAGTTTTAGTCAAACTGCCAGACAGAAAAAACATAGAAGTATTTCAAGGAACTTTTGAAGTGATAAAGAAACTATCTGATGTAAATTATGAAATAAACATAAAGGGAAATAACACGCATATACACATAGACAGAATAAAGAAATTATATGTAGAGCCAGAGAAACTGATAGAAGAGGAACATATAGCCTGTACTATAATAAGTGAAAGCTGTAATACAAAGGAAATTAAGACTAATCATATCCCAGTGGATGAAAAAAACATAATAGACAAAATAGTAAATGAGTACAAGGATGTGATTACAACAGAAATGGGTTTTACTGAAACGAGTCAACACGAAATAGAATTGACTGATTATAGTGCTATAAAAGGGAAGCATTACCAAGTACCAGTTGCCTACAGAGAAGCTGTTGAAGCAGAACTGGATTTGCTCCTTGAGCCTGGGCAAATAGAAAGAACAGAATCAGCATACTCATCACCCATGGTGATAGTAAGAAAAAAGAACAACAAAGTAAGGATATGTTGTGACTATCGAGAGTTGAATAAAAGGACTAAGATAAATGCTGAACCCATGAATGATCCGAAAGACATTTTGGAAACTATTAGTAAATCCTCAATTTTTACCACTTGTGATTTGAACAGAGGCTTCTGGCAAATAGGCATGGAAAAGGATTCAAGACAATACACCGCCTTTACATCAAGCAAAGGTCTATGTCAATGGAAGGTGATGCCGTTTGGACTTGTAAACAGTACCGCCACGTTCCAAAATTCATGAGTAAAATGACAGAGGGAATGAAAAATCTGGTCTTCTTTGTTGATGATATATGCATACATAATAACACATGGTCAGAACACATAGAAACACTAAAAGAACTACTAGAAAGACTTAGGAAACACTGTGTTACAATAGCAACAGAGAAACTGCATGTGGGGGTAGATACAGTAGAATTCTTAGAATTTAAGGTTGGAAATAAAGAAATTAGACCTACTGAAGGAAATAGGGACAAAATATTGAATATTAAAACTCCTAGTACAAAGAAAGAGGTGAAACAAACATAGAACTGAATAAAGAAAATAATGACTTGAGACATATCAGCCAATCCTTATTAGGGAATTTTGAATAATGAAGTGTGTGATATTTACTACCAGAGAAAATTAATATTTTAAAAGTGTGAGCAAGATAGGAGTAAGTTATAAGTACATAACTTGTATAAATATGTTTTTACAACTATTTAAATTTAGAAATGCAAATAAACATGTGTTTTGTTGTATTTCTGTGGTTTGTATGTATACTGTAGGCCTATATCTTGTTAACTAATGAACACGACTATGGCAGGATGAGTTGACAGATGTGGTAATTTGCATATGTTATGATGAGGAGTTGACCTCAGCCATTGAAGTAAGAAAATCAAGGATATGATTAGCACATGGGAGCTATTGCATAGCTATGACTATGTTCTACTAAGAGGGAGTTTTCCTTAGTTAGATTTATTTTGAGATACACTAAGAGGTAATATTCCTTAGTGAGGTTAAATGAATTTTTGTTATACTAAGAAGAGATTTTCCTAAGTTAGAGTCATTTGTTATTATTTGGTTACAATTGGTTTAAGGTTGTTCCACTAAGTGGGGGTATACCTTAGTGAGGTTTTGTTGTTATTATTAAACTAAGAAGGTTTACCTGAGTTACAATTTGGCGTTACTTATAAGATAAGTGAAGTTTTGCATTTTGCCATGTATTTTATGAATATCATTGTTCAATTTGGTAAGTGTTACATATAAAATAATTTAGGATGTTAATTAGCCAGTTTCTTTTTCAATATGAATTTTTTAAAACTGTTACATGTATAATGAAGATTTTATAGTAAATGTGATGTATATAAGAAAAAATTAATGTATTAATTTTTTAAAGGGGAGAAAGGGCATATGTAACAGTCAAATGTAGGATGAATGTATGTTTCGAGTGGAGGTGTAAAAAGGCGATATAAATCTAAAAAATGTGGTGGGCAGGCGCATGCGCAAAAGAAAGTGGAAGTGGAAGAAAGATTAAGAAAGGAGGGTTTTGTTTGGCAGTGTAGCTGCTGTATCTGTGATATCAATAAAATTGTAAAATTACCAGGATAAAGGTTGTTTGGTGTTATCTATCAGGCCTTAAAATATAATAAAACAACAGTGATGCGGTTTGTATTTGCCTTTACCATGTGCCATAAAGTTGGCTGTACAAACAGGGTGTGACTGTAATCATTTGTGTGATTTAATTTTATTATCTCACTTAATTTCGAAAGCGTTTAATCAATTTTTAGTTAAACATCTACTTAAATTTTAAAAAATGATAATTTTTGTATTGTCATCAAAGTGGGACGTATCTGGAAAGTTTGAAAGAAATCGTTGTATTAAAAGTAAGTCGAAATTGAGTTACAAGATTTAATACAAACCCACAAACAAACAAATAAACAGACAGACAGACGTTTCGAACTAAATAAAAGCTTGTAAAAAACCGGAAAGCACCGGATATAATTCATTTAGAATATAATTTCTTTGATGATCTCTGCATCTCTGCATTTTCAGAAAATCAGCAGCTAATGAAGAAGCAGTTAAATCGGTCTAATAACTGTCATATCAAACACGTCGATCAAGTTAGAAAATTATAGGATTATATGCTTTTAAAGTACTAAAACTGTGTGGAAACCAAATGTCACAGAAAACGAATCTTTCTCATCCATGTCAATTCTGTTTTGCTGTTTGGCTCATGGGCAACGTTTAGCTGACAAACCCACAATATCAAAGCTATCAAATTTCCTTACAATCAACACATAATTCCAAATATTTTCAGTGATAAAATTGTTAATATCCTTTAACAGTACAGTTACCAAAAAGCGTTTATTTTCAAGTACCACCACATGAAGCCTCACAACCCTCGATACGCAGAGCCAAGGCGTTAAATAACCACCATTTGGTTTTAGAAAAAACACTACATTAGAATTGTATGTAAAGCTATTTAAATACCAATTTCTTAAAATTATAAGATAAACATTACTTGAAAGCTATAATGGTTCCAGTGGGTCCTCGAATAGTCCATGTACTGTTGGTTGCAGAAGAACTCGAAGTATTTCCTGTGTTGGTTATCGTTCCAGTTGTGACATTTAAGACTTCATTTAAATCTATAAAACAAAATTTGTTTAACATTGCAAGGATATATTTGCGAGATATTAACTTATTATTTATCTTTATATAATCTTGTGTAATTAAAAGACAATTACGGAGTTATTACATAACCTAGAGCAATATAAGCGTGAAAAAATATCGAATCTGGTTTACATTTAAAGTTATTTTATCTTTATAAGAATCAATAATAATTGGCTGCCAGAAACGTAAAAATAAAACTGATCATCAATTCAACAAAAAATTCAACGAATGTTGCACATATTTACAATATGCCTAGTAAATTTTTCGACGACGTAACGAATCTAGATTGGACTATAGACTCTAAAATTATCTCTGCACCTTGTGTTAACAAATGGTTATTACGGCACAAACTCCGGATTGTGTGTAAACTCATATACCTTTGATTTCGTAATTTACATACAATCCGGAGTTTGTGCCGTAATAACCATTTGTTAACAAAAGGTGCAGAGATAATTTTAGAGTCTATAGTCCAATCTAGATTCGTTAGGTCGTCGAAAAATGTACTAGGCATATTGTAAATATGTGCAACATTCGTGTTGGTCTGTATAACAGTGATGCACATATGTGTGGTGCTTTATTGCACATTTTGTTTACATTTTCCACTGCTTAAACCTTCTGTACTATACGAAGTCAAACTTTACTGATGATGCGAGAACATTCACAGAACCTGAAAAATCGTTTTGTCTTGTCTAATACGCCGAAAATGCAAATATGCTTTTTAGATGATTAGTGTTGTGGAAGCAAATTATACTGGTGAAATTTCGTATTTTCTTCCACCTATCGTAAAAGCAACTACTGTATACATTGTTTAAACAATATACGTAAAATTCGATCCATGACTATGGACTGTCTAGAATGATAATGTGAAAAAATGATTTGGTCTTTTTAGTCTTGAATTCTCAACATATGTTGACCAATGTTTATGTTTGGCTGAATATTTACCTCTCCATTAACATACAATATAGTATGTTATCTGGTATCCCTCATGTAGATTATCAAGTTCACATAACCATAACGTGTTATTAGAGGATTAATTCATTAATTTATACATGCATTCGAGTTTGCGTTTGTTAAGCCTGTAAGAAATTAAAGCATATTTTCTGACATAATATAAGACAGTAGCGTAGCTAGGATCGATTTGTGGGGAGGGGGGGGGGTTGGGTTACATTTTTTCCCCCATTATAATTTATATATATGGAGATATATTAGCAGATTGTCTTACTAGATTTTAAATTAATTTTTTAAACCATTTTCTAATTTAGTAATTTAACCTATTTCATCGCGAAGTATATCATGAGACAAAAAAATCACACACAAATTAGCTTAAACTCATTTTATGCGAGGTATAATCGTGTTTTAAAAACTATTATATTAGCATTTTACTTTTTTTTTAAATGTACAATTTTCTTTTCATATAACCACCAAAACGTGTGAATCTCGATTGCGTGAAGCCCTCGACTGTACATGTAATCGGGTCTTATTTTTCTTTTGCTAAGCAGGCAATATATAAATGTTGGTGGCTTTACAGTTAAATGCAGTTGAATCTGAGGAACCAGTAGTATTCTTTTCCGGTTAGTTGAAGACATTGTAAAATTGACCAAAATAGATAAGAAGAGTTTCACCAATGCATTACCAATCCAATAATTTAAGAAGCGTGACCTTGTACACTACCGCATGAAAACCTTGAGTGTACGTTAATGAGGTAGAACACACTTCGGTGATGCACATCTGTTAGGGACGTAGAGGGGCGCTCTCGGGAGCCCCCGATTACACTACCGCAGAGACAACACGAAAGACCCCTGGCTCCTTAACACTAACATAGGCGCCATAGTGCTCACAGGGGATAACCCAGAGCGCAAAATAACTTCCTGAAACAATGATGATGATTGCGTCAGTCGTAAAAGTGACACAAACGAACATGATTTTTTCTTTAACATAGTAGAAAAAATATTTGACGTGTTATAACACACCAGTGTTACTGATGCAATTTGTAAGCGTTTCCAAAGGTGTATTATTAGAGTTTCGATTTCAATATCTAGAAGTGAGGATTTTTTTTAGATTTGAGTTGCCCTCCGAAAATTTTGTACTGAAATATTTTCATTATTTCGAAAACTGTAGGCTTTGGATTTGTTTGGATTTTTTTATGGACAGTTACACTTGGTTTCTTATTTATTTTGGCTCGTTTTTGCCAAATGTAACAATTATAAATAAATACATTCCACAACGAGAATCTGTATCATGAATCACAAGAACAAATTACATAAAGTATACACCGGGATTGATCTCCCTAAACTTTCTCGAATATTCTTATATAACTTGGAATATAGAGATGATTTTTAATTGCATAAACTTTTAAAAATATAATAGAATGTCATAGGAAAAAAGAATTGCGCACCAAGCAAACGCCAAAACAAAATGTGCATAATAAAAGTAATTTATAAATTTACATGCATTTTTTGAGAAATCGGAAGTAGCGTAAATTACTACTTCCGCTCAACGGAAATTATTCAAAATTTAACAGAAGGTTGAAAACTAGATCTTTTATTTACATGTGAAATTTCATTTATCTATCTGAAATAGTACTTAAGTTATAGGCTTTTGAAAAATTCAAAGTAGAAAAGCACCACTTTCGTTTATTGGAAATCGCTCAAAAGTTGATCAGGATCTACGATTTTGATAAAATACTTATATATGAAATTTCATCAACGTAGCTGTAACGGTACTCAAGTTATCGTGTTTACATACAGACAGAAAGACACACACACAGAGACAGACACACAGACATACGGACTAGATTGCAAAATTATGTTTTTTCCGTATCAGTGAGGTGTAAAAATCTCGATTTTTTTGTCGCACGAGAAAGTAAAAAAACTGACGAGTATACACACGATTTTGACGCCACACCACATTGCTTCACACACTGTTTCGTTCAAACACTTTGTCTCGCTAGCATACCACTTTCACTGTGCCTACACATTTTTGTTATAGACAATCCATGTCACATGAACTACAGAAAACATCCCAGTTAATAATCTAACCTTGGTTAATTTATCTGATTTTTCCAAAAAAATAAAACATTACTTGACCCTTTGCGGCCCTTGTGAACCTTTGGGAGCCGTAACTGAAATTATAGTTCGCAGCCGAATCATACCCTACCAGAGCGCTACTGACACGGCTGATTTAATTTATTGAGTGACTGTAACACACCTTCTTATCTATTGTCTTTCGCACTGTTTAGAACGAACTCAGGCGCCATTGCGCTAACGGGAAAGCCCAGGGCTCCAAATAGAACCCTTCAGGGGCGCCGGGCGACGCGCCTTGTTCGATATAGTCAATGATTATTGTTGCCCATCGTGTCATTAGCATATAACATCTTTTTAAACGAACTTAGGCGCATACTGCTAGCAGGGGAGTCCGGGGCGCTACGGGTCGTGGAAGCTACGGGGCGCCGGCTTTTGTGCTTGTTGACGTTTAAACACTGAATATAGTAGCATCCCTTACCCGCTATTCAGGACGCACGATTAACGGATGCCAAGTGCAACACCTTTATTTAGACTCCCGATAAGTAGGCTCTCGACATTTATTTTCTCGACAAAACGGTTCCTGTCATTACAACTTCCGACAACTAGGCTCTTGTCAAATTGGCTCCCGACAAAAGGACCACCGACAATACGGTATCCGAGCGAAACGATCTCATTGAATATGACACATGCCAGTGGGACCCGTTTATCAATATTCTTTAAGGTTAGCTTATCCAACACTCATAAGTAATACATCGTATGCAAGTCTTGTTCGGCAGGCTTTATTTTTTTAATAGTTTATCTATTATAAAGAAAACCATGTTTTAATTTAAGGGTCATCTATCTATGACTTGCATAAATGAGTCGGTTATCGGTTATTCAAACTCAGTGTTTGGGGAGAAGGGTCCACGCTGTACATTTCTACCTGCATTATGCTTGTAGGTTATCAAAAAAACAAAATGCCGTTATCATGTAAACATCATGTATATCATACATTTACACTTCTGTGCTCGCTTTCAAGCAACAGATCTTCACCGTTGTAAATTAAACATTATCAAAATGTTAGAATTGGTGGAATTTAAGGGCTCAATTTGTTTGTAAATTAATGTTGGTTCATGAAAAACAATTAAAAAGAGGTTATAGTGGTATTGGAGGTAGGCCAAACTGGTTACTTTTATGCCTATAGTTGTCATGCGATTCATTTGTCTTGAGCCAAGTTGTCGAGTCTTTTTGACGGAATTCAATATATCGGGACCCCATTTGTCGGAAGCTAATGTATCGGGAGCTCATTTGTCGGTAGCCAATATGTCCTGAGCCCATTTGTCGGGTGCCAATTTGTCGGGAGCTAATATATGGGGAGCCTATTTGTCGGTAGTCAATATGTCCTGAGCCTATTTGTCCTGAGCATATTTGTCGGGAGCCAATATGTCGGGAGTCAATATGACGGGAGCCCATTTGACGGGAGCAATTAAGACGAGGCACTTTAAACTGGGCTATTTTGACTGGGTCGTTTTGTCGGGGTTGATTTGACGGTGCACCGGGTCACCTATATAAACAAATGTAAAGCATTGTGGAGTCTCAGATAAACAAATCTCAGTTATCCAACAACTATATAGCACATTATTAGCACATTATATTAGAGATGTTTATTTTGCAAAAGCTAAAGGTTGTATATGGTTTATGCTCTCTGTATTGTACCTTGTTAGATACAATTTATAACGTTAGCCTTTTAAATGGAATGCAGAGAAGCACCACAGAGGAACGGAATAAAGAAAGTGTGTTGAACAGAATGTATTGAATATTTAGGCTTATTAATATTAAAATACCTCTGATCTCGTAGTTTCCATAAAAGCCTCTAAAGTTTATAGAGTTAGTACTGTAGAACACAATGTGTAAGTAGTTACTGGTTGAAACAATCAGCCGAGGTGACATCAAGCAGGAATCCAAACATGACGAATTAGCTGTAGGTCCATCGTATATATTAAGGGAGTTATAGAAACAACTCAAGACGTCTAAGTTGGAATCAATTAAACTGTAACAAAAAACAATTTGTATTTAAATAGCGCAGATTTCAAAATTGACTCCTACTCCAGCTTTCGCCCATTTGTGCAATTTCGAATCATTTCATTCATTCATACAAACTTACACTCATTCACTCTTATACTCATTTACTCATACACTCATAAAGTCATGTACTGATAAACTCAAACATTAAGAAGACGTAGCTTGAGGTCCATCGAGTACTTTAAGGTTTGTATAGTGACAGCCAAAGTTGTATAGTTTAGTATCAGTTTTCTGTCAGGACATTTTTGTCTAATTACTTACATACATATATGTGGTTGTTTTTTTTTTATCCCTAATACAATTCTTATTAATAATCATACTCCTATTCATATTTCCATTCCAACTGCAATTCATATAATCATATATACATAGTTAATATGTAATTGCAAGATATAAGCAGAAAACTTACTTAAGAATGATGAACGTATCAGGCTTGCCTTGTATAGTCCAGGTGTAAAACTTGTTCTTTAGGAAACCCAGTGGATATCCAGGACTAGAGATGAAACCCTGAGGCTCGGTTAGCGTGATGTTTGTATCTGCATGTTTTGTTAAATTGATTAATGTTTATTTTGACATTGAACAATAAAATGAAGTCTATATAGGCCTACACTGATCGAGTTTTTGAAAAGCATACTTTACTTTAGTTTTCGATTTCAGACTTTCGTTTACATTCTACTTTAAACGTTTGTGTTTTGTGCAATGTTTTGCTATATTATTTATATGAGCATTATACATAAATAGGAATAACCAATATGTTGTATAGAGCTAGGTTATTGTTATGACGCGTTCAGGGTAAATGGTTAAAACAGGCTATAGCTAATTAGGTTAGAGAGATCAATGAAAATACAAGAGCTGACCTGTCACGTGGGACGGTCAGCTGACCACTGATGCGTGGGTCAGTAGTTAGATCAGCGGCAGTTAGTAATACGTAGGCAAGGAGAACGGACAGAGAAATGTAGAGTTAGGTAGAGAGTTAGAATGTAGTGTGTTAGGATTGGTCATGGGAGTGCGTAGTTTGTAGAGCAAATAGTATATAGTTTAGGTTAGTTAGATAAAGTAGGAAGTTGATTGTTTAAATTGTAATAAAGGACATTATATTTCATCTTAACCACCCCCACACTCACATTTAGTGGTACTGCTTTTCCCCACCCTCAAAACTGACGGTAGATCCTCTAATCAACCCCACCCTAACAGTTATGTTTGTTGTTACTTTACTCATGTAAGTATCGTTATTATTATTCTGTTATATTTATTTTATTATTAACATATTAACAATCGCAATATGTACCCAATTTTCTAGATGTAGGTAAACATCACGATCAAGACATCTCTAATGTGTTGATTCCTAGCTTTCATGATTCGTAGTGTTATGTATAAAAACTAAATAATTTCCAACAAAAAAAAATTACAACGCATATTTAAGTTTAAGAAAAAATCATTGTATCCGACAAAAAGCTCCAGAGAAGGAGTGTGCATCTGTTTTAAATGTTTTGCATCACTAATATAATTTATTTATTACGCGTATAGAATAAAGATTTTATTGTGTTAAGCCAATATTAACAGTATACACATCTATTACACATTACGAGTTACGAAATGCAAAAAAAATATATTTTTAAATAAGGGTGTATGTATCCTTCTTTTATTGGCTATCCGACAAATGCTAATATTAGTCTACTACTTACAACGCTTTTTAAAAATCTATTAGTCTAAAAATATTTTTATTTTTCGAATCGAAAAGCTATTTACTTTCATTTTTTTAGAACAATAATAACAATTAAAATAAAAATAAAATAATTCTTAGATTAAGTACATCCCTTTTAAATATAAAAAGCAGATCCATTTTCAGCATCTAGATCTAGATATTACTATTTCTAACAATTTGATATTTCCTTTAAAGTACCTGAAACATGGTTTACCAAAATTTTACGAGTAGCGATCCCTTTTATAAATAGTTAGTGATCAGCGACCCCCTTAGTATTAAATGTCGAAATTAGTAAATAAATTAATATACAATAAAATAAGATTCACTGTTTTAATGCGATGGGTAAGATTGATTCTGACGCTAAATATTTTACTTTTTTTCTGAACGCCTGATTTTGACCCAAACATAGACAGCGTACCATCAATACACACCCCACAGCAGTTTCCCCATTGTACTTCTCAAGTTAAAAAAAAACTATTTTTTATTCATTAATTTGAAAAGCAAACAATGGTGCAAGCTTGATTTCATTTAAAATGTATTATTTAACATCTACGGACATGTATGCCACACGCCGCTGAATAGTGTTATTAGACAGATATATTTGCTGCATCTTTACTGCACGGGGATAGCCAAGAACTAATTTCATCATCTTTAACATGCAAGGTTTGATGATTTTATGATATTTTCTCCAATTGCGTGAGGGTTTTTTTTTTGCTTGGCAATATCTAATGCGATTTCATATGATGCCTGCACTAATGCTGTATTTCCGTGGTGAAAACTTTCTTTTTGATCGTCTCTGACGTTTGCAACTAGCTTCATGCCGACGAAAGAACTCCATATTTTTTTGGTGTGTACGAACGACTCGTCTTAAAATGACTAAGAACAATCTAAAAACTTCAATACTCTGTTCATCAACCAAGAAAACAAACCCCCTCAGAGATCTAAAGATTAAAGCAGTAAAAAGCTAAAACGGAATAAGTAATAAAATAAAATAAAATACTTAAAAAAACTTTTTAAAAAACCACGTTTTTCTTGTGGACTAAAAAGTAGAAAATAACTATTTACATACATTTGATGACAAAAAAACGTGGGTACGTTCACCATCAAATTTCCCGACCCATCTGCCCGACCCACGTTTTTTGTCATCAAATGTATGTAAATAGTTATTTTCTACTTTTTAGTCCACAAGAAAAACGTGTTTTTTTTAAAAAGTTTTTTTAAGTATTTTATTTTCTCCTTTTTAGTCCGTTGCTACACATGAAAAACGTGGTTTTTAAAAAAGTTTTTTATATAGTTTATTTTCTACTTTATCTAATGACTTGATTAAGTATGACTTGCCTAAGTGTTTATAAATACACGGACTAAAAATCTTGAGCGACCAGGATTCGAACCTAGGTTGTCGCGGCCACAACGCGAAGTACTAACCACTATACGATCACGGCCAGCGCGCTCACATCGATTGGGGCCGAAGTAACTGTGTCAATAGGCCTCCAGTCTTGTCGGTATCTTTAGAAATCATGTCCTCAATTTTATGGTCCTTAGGGCGTAATTAAATTAAGCTAATTACGGTCTCTAATTGCTAGTTTTTATGATTGCATCTGAAATTGTTAGGCGAAAGTAGCCTGCATGCCAAATTTCAGATCTATAGAGCAATCAAAAGTGGGCTAATTTTCGATGTCAATTTTAACAACAAACAAACACACGCGAAGCTGAGTTAATAAAAACGTGTTAAAAAATAGAAAAGTATAAGGAAGTATTGGAGGAATCGCTCTCTCTTTCGTCATTTAATATGAAATTATTCAAACTTCTGCATATGCTAATGCCTACGCTTATTTTTACGCGTATGTTAATGCTTTGTTAGGCAAATTGATGCGCACGAATGCTGTTGCAGGACTATTTTGAAAGTGTGACGCGGTACGCAAGTAAGTGACGTTTTAGTGGATGATCGTTGTTGCCGGTAATGAAGCTGAAAGTAGTCTTGTTATTGTAGTTTTGGGTGAGGCCGTAAATGTATTCAAGTTATAATTTCGCTTGTAAAGGTCGTTATATGTACTATATGTGTAATAAACAGCAGAGTCAACTAAATTCATCCTATCAAGGGATTTGCATGCATTTATGTCGTCGTGCTTTAGGATGAACTACTGAATGGCTAGAAAGAATATAATGGTAGTGTAAGCCCTCTCACTGCATAGCTTCGGCACACATAATCCCCTACTTATAACATTTTCGCTTATGCTTAAATATACATGATATATATGTTTTTAGCCAATTAATGTGCATTTTCACTTTACTATGTATTTTTTTTTATATTACATGAGTCACTAATCTTAACATACATAGTCATATGCTTTTTCTTTCTAAAAACCACTTCCATTTTCTACACACCAAAAATCACAACGCATATTTAATTTGAAAAAAAAAACAGTGTCCGACGAACCTATTTGGGAAACAGCTTGCCTTTCTGACTTTAATAGGCATATAGGGTATAAAAAAACATTTACCGTGTTAACAATATATATATATATATATATATATATATATATATATATATATATATATATACATATACATATAAGAATACACGTTATGATGCGCTTATAAACTAACTTTTCAGTAAATGTGTACGTACTAATTTTATTGGCTGTCAAACAAGTGTTATTATTAGTCCGTTATTTATTTTTAAAGAAACTGAATGCTTTTTAGTCTAAAGTTTAGTACATTATTGTTATTGAAATGTCATTTACATTCATTTGTCAATAAAAAAAATAAATAACAGGGCAATTAAAAGTTTTAATTCCCGGTTTAAAAACAACCCTCTCGAATATTAAATAAAGAAGTCAAGCGGATCATGTTTTAGCCCTCGATATTACAAATCTAACAATCTCATTTTTTTTATATTCCTACTAAATTCTATAGAAAACTAGCGTACCCGACCCCCGCGCGTTGCCGCGGGGATAGAAGAAAGTCTGACAAAATATATTAGGATTTCACCAACGCGTTATCAATTATAATTAATGTTCTTAGACGCGTGACATTTTTTTCTAAAAATGAGTTATTTAAATGTAAACAATGCCTGTTCTTGGATCATAAATATCAGGACACGGGTTTACCTACACTAACGCATGAAAACATTGAGTGTACATTAATCACTCACCGAAATAATATGGTAGAACACACTTCGGTGACCGCGTCTGTGTCAGAGACGTAGAGGGGCGCTCTCACGGCCCCCACCCCCCGATTACACGACCGCATAGGCGCGGCGTACGACCCCTGGTTCCGTAAAACTAACAGGCGCCATCGGCCAAATAGCATCCTGTTAATAATGATGCAGATTTCGTCATTCGCTAAAGTGACACAAATGAACAGGATTTTTTTCTTTAACACTTAAAAAAATTATTTGACGTGTTTTAAATATCAGTGTGACTGATGCAATATGCTGGCGTTACTAATGGTCTATTGATAGATGCTCGATCTCAATTTGTGACAGAATTGTCTAATAATAGATGCTTATTGCATCATTCGCAATGTAACGAAACTCTACAGTAAGCTCCTCATATTCAAAAAGTAAATTTTTTCATCTTTCGCAAGGTGACGAAACTGTACAGAAGGATTTCCTCGCGTTACAAAGTTATTTTTAGAAGCCTGTTGTAGTTTTACCGCTGAATATAGTAGTACCCCTTACTCGCTATGCAGGACGCTTGATTAACGGATGCCAAGTGCCAACTTAGTTGCTCTAAAACTCTGGGCGCCAAACCATGTATTGACGAAAGTTGTACCCTATATGGTGCCGCCCGTAAGAAACTTAGTTTTCTTTTTCGCAGAAATATTTTCGGGGGTATTCTCATCTACTCCCTAAAGTTTCATGGCATTCGGATGAACCGCATCCGAGTTTTATTTTTTATATACCGTGTATAGAGAAAAAAAATCGCTCCCCCGGGGGGCGCCGCGCTTAAAATATTAAACAATATTTTTGCAGAACCCTACCATTGAGTGAACTAATCATCTCCCCAAAGTTTCATGGTACACGGATGAACGGTGTGAAACCGAAATTTTATAAACCGTATATAAAGAAAAATCGCAGCCGCCCGTGGCGCCGCCCTTGCGAAATTAAAAAAAAAGTTTTTTTTTACATAACCCTTCCCTGAATTGCTCTAATCAACTCCCCCAAAGTTTCTTGGCTATCGGATAACGGTGTCACGCCAAAATCGACTTATTTTTATAAACCGTATATAAAGAAAAATCGCAGCCGCCCGTGGCGCCGCCCTTGCGAAATTTTATATACCGTGTATAGAGAAAAAAATCTCCCCCCCCCCGGGGGGCGCCGCCCTTACAATATTAAACAATATTTTTTGCAGAACCCTACCATTGAGTGATCTAATCACCTCCCCAAAGTTTCATGGTACACGGATGAACGGTGTGAAACCGAAATTTTATAAACCGTATATAAAGAAAAATCGCACCTTCCCGTGGCGCCGCTCTTTCGAAATTAAAAATGTTTTTTTTACAGAACCCTTCCCTAGAGTTTTATAATGAACTCCCCAAAGTTTCATGCCTATCGGATTAACGGTGTCACTGCACTTAACTTTTATTATTTTTATATACCGTAAATAGAGAAAAATCGGACCCTCCCGTGGCGCCGCCCTTGCGAAATTAATTTTTTTTTTACAGAACCCTTTCCTAGAGTGGTATAATGAACTCCCCAAAGTTTTATGCCTATCGGATAAACGGTGTCACTGCACTTAACTTTTATTATTTTTTTATACCGTAAATAGAGAAAAATCGGACCCTCCCGTGGCGCCGCCCTTGCGAAATTAAATTTTTTTTTTTTACAGAACCCTTTCCTAGAGTGGTATAATGAACTCCCCAAAGTCTCATGGCTATCGGATGAACGATGCCAAAACAAAATCGACTTTTATTTTTATATACGGTATATAGAGAAAAAAAATCGCGCCCTACCGGGGCGCCACCCCTACGAATTTGAAAATGTTTTTTGCGCAAAAACCTCCATAGGAGTATTCTCAACATCTTACCAAAGTTTCATGGGGATCGTGAGAATGGTGTCACTGCAGTTCCTTTTTATTATTTTTATATACCGTATATAGAAACAACTTCCCAAAGTTTCACGGCGATGTGATGAGAGGTGTAGTAATGCATAAAGGACAAACATACACACACATACATTGCTTTTTATATATATAGATATCATGATAGTGGAATGTCGGTAGGTAGTCGATTTAGTATTTCTAAAATTGCTGTTTATTAAGTACGTGTCAGTCTAGGTGACATATTGATAAATGTTAATGCTACTGGTGAGGTAGCTATAGATTATTTACAAGGGAGAGAGAAATCAAAGCATGTTACCGTGAAGCTTATCTGCAAGTAACTGATTTAATTTACATGTGATTAACAAAACAACAGTTGTACTTCCTCAAATTTACATTTATATGGTAGATATTTAAGTTCATACACAGAATAAATTATCAAACTATTATGTATTCAAAGATTTTAAAAATTAAATACTTACCTAAAATTTTATAGGTAGCTAGAAATGTCGCATTTCCTGATGTCTTAAATTCCACAAGCATGACGTTTGTTGTTGACAATGTCAGAATTTGCCGTGCTGTACACATTTTCCCAAATGACCTGCTGAGTGTCCATGGTCCATCAAATATCTCAATGTAATCAGCTGCACAGATTTTATTTGTACCCATATCCATGTATGTTAGGCTAAAAAGATTAAGTATTATAAATTAAAACATATATACATTTATATCTATAATAATAGTTTCGCTATTCTGGCACTCTGTCACTCTGTTGGGAACAATATAAAGAAAACACGAGCAATATTAAAACGTTCAAAGTCAAGCGAAAAACGAAACCTGACGTCACATGGAACATGTAGTAGGAAATAGTCTAAACTAGGAAAAGTACACATAAAAATTTTTCTGGGAAAGGAGGGGGGGGGGGGGGGGAACGAACATCGGTAAAAATACATTTTCTATATAAATCCTTTTTAGTTATAGGGGACGGTAGACGCTTCGAGGATGAGGGGCTCTGTCTCAAAATCCCCCTCCCCCCTGTTGATTCGCCTGAAAGAAACTCTAAATGCGACTTTTGTCATGTTTAAACTTGGGTGTAGGGTTTAAGAGTATGACTACGTCTATATTTAGTATCAATGTGCAGTAACTTCGTCTAGATCAAACTTAAATCCAATTAAAGTGGCGATTCTGGATAAAAATCCGTTTTCAATGACATTTGTCGTTTCCGGGTAAGTTTGCAGTTGAGGTGTTGATTTCGGTTTTGGTTTCGGTTTAAAGAAAAAAGACAACACTATCAACCTAGCGCCCTTTGTATTTCTCCCTCAACGGGCAATTTTTCTCGTACTAAAATATGTAGGATACTAAACTAGATATTTCTAGTCTGAGCGACTGGGTTCTGTAACTATTATATTATTAGCTTTATGGGGTATTTTAATTTAAAGGCAAAAGAAATTTTAGATTCCAGTGTAGAAAGCTTTTGTTATAAAGCAATATTATTAAGACGATATTTTTATCAATTTGTATATTTAATGCAATGTTTTATTTGTGAGGGTTTATATATTTCTATTAAAAATGTTAGGCTTTTTTTCTTTTACGAGTAATCGATTTAAGAGCCTTATTTTTTTGGTATCCGAAATATGTATGTGCGATTAAGTTACAAACTGGAAGTTTAGGCTTTTCTTTATCATAGTTCAAAGCGAACAGGATGTATCTGATGGTGAAACGATAATTACTTTTTAAAATCTTTTTAAATTCTTGAATATTATTATTCGTTAGTTAATTGTTATATGTATTTTCCGGTTATTAAAGATTAATACTTTAGGACCACGTTTATGTTTTCCAGGATAATTTTATGAAAGAACTATAAAGTTTTAACTTAATTATGTCCCTCGCATTGAGATTATTTAATATCCCTTTTCTTGGTGATAACATACATTTTCGCTATTATTGTTAATGGGCTGATATTTTCCTCATATTTAATTTTAATATGACTTAACAAATAGCTTAAGGACGTAAAGTCACTATCCACCTTTTCAGTGTTAAATGAAATAATGTTTACTTATAATGTTTTCGTTCCGCTTCTACCAGTTTCGCCTGTATGTGTCTATTTTATCTTACATTGCCCACGGTTATGTGGAGTGTTGGTTTCGACTTTTTTACTTTCTCGTATATACGAAGTATAGAGAAAGTCTTGTAATCGTGCAAAAAAAATCGACGATTTTTACAAATCTCGACGTTTTACATCTCACTGATACGGAAAAATATAATTTTGCAATCTTGTCCGTATGTCTGTGTGTCTGTCTGTGTGTCTGTCTGTGTGTTTGTAAACACGATAACTTGAGTACCGTTACACCTAGGTTGATGAAATTTCATACATAAGTATTTTATAAAAATTGTAGATCCGTATCGACTTCTGAGCGATTTTCGGTAACCGGAAGTGGTACTTTTTCTACATTGAAATTTTCAAAAGCCTATAACTTGAGTACTATTTCAGATAGATAAACGAAATTTCACATGTAAGTAAAAGATCTAATTCTCTACCTTCTGTTAAATTTTGCGTCGTTTCCGTTGACCGGAAGTAGTAATTTACGCTACTTCCGATTTCTCAAAAAACAAATGTAAATTTTTAAAGTACTAATAATATTGCGCACTATTATGCATTTTTTTATTTAGCGTTCACTTGGTGTGCAATTCTATTGTCTACGAGATTTTATTCTATTTTTAAAACTTTAAGTATTTAAAATGGATTAAAAATCATGTCTATAGCCCGAGTTCCCATCCCCTGTTATTTTATATAAAAATATTCGAGAATATTTGGGGAGATCACTCCCGGTTTATTTTCTATGGAAGATTAGTTGTTTTTTTAATCTATGTTAAGGTTTTAAGGTAAACACACTGGATAAGCACTAACACGAGGTAGTGTTTTGCCCCTATTCACTAAACAAGGGTTACCTCCTTTCCCCCTTATGTCTCCCTTAAGTAAACACCAAGTATCTGACCATTTGGAAATTCGTTTATCATCTAAAACGTTTTTTGCTACATGTGTTATTGGGCTGATGTCGATTAATTATATACTATGGATCAAGATCTGCCATTTAAGGTTATTACGGAGGGAAGGGGCGTTATAGTGGCAGCAACGGATGACATAGTAAAGAGAGTGGATGCACCAAAGCAAAACGTTGCAGAATATACGAGAAAAATTAAACATGTTTTTTTAACAACATTATACACATTTAGAGTTAAATACACTTGTAAGAACTACATGTTACATCCTGTAAATTGTTGATGGGGGCGTGACAACTAGAAGGTAAAGCAAATACAGAAAGACAAGGCACATCTATTTGAATTTTACCCTTAACAACTGACAAGTCTATCGCACTTTTAAATTGTCGTATTTTTCTTTCTTCATAGTAACATAGATATGTAACTCGGATTATGGTCGGATAGGAGTAAGTTTGATTGCTATTTCCGAGAAACTCAACTCGAACCGTTCGGCAGATGATGTTCGTTAGCTGGGTACATCAACTCATCTCGTTGAGGAAAGTCCAAAACCAGACAACCAACAATTATACAGATATTTCGTCAATACTGTGAAGAACGAAAACAATAAATCGGGACGATCTCCCCTAAAACTTTTTTCAATATCCATATATAACCCTACGGGGGATGGCAACTTGGGATATAGACAATATTTTAAATCCGATACTTAAACTTAATTGCTTTAACTTTTTAAAATAGAATAGAATCTCGAAGAAAAAGAATTGCACACCAAATGAACGCCAAATAAAATGTGTAGAATATTGCGGAATATTATTAATACTTTATAAATTCGCATCAGAAACAGCCTAAATTACTATTTTCGGTCAACAAAGTTACTCAAAGTTTGATAGAAGGCAGAGATATTATTCTTATATATGAAATTTCATTTATCTGTCTGAAATAGTACTCAAGTTATAGGTTTTTGAAAAATTGAAGGTAGAAAAAGTTTCACTTCCGTTTTTTGGAAATCGCTCAAAACTTGATACGGGTCTAGAAATTTGATATAATTCTTATATATGAAATTACATAAACCTAGCTGTAACGGTATTCAAGTTATCGTCTTTACATAAACACATACATACACATACACATACAAACACAAACATACGGACAAGATTAAAAAATTATGTTTTTCCGACTCAGGGAGGTGTAAACAATTACAATACTTTCACTTTACTCTGTAAACGAGAAAGTAAAAAGATAAACTGTGTCTTTGCATAGGGTTGGCAATGCAAGAACAGCCTACAAAACATATTTTGGGTTGCCGATATTTAATAGAAACATAATCATCTCGAACTCAATAGTAAACTTCTTTTACCCCTTGGAGTTAAGTCATAGAGTATAAATAATAAAAATAAATACAGTCCTTGATAAATGAATGCCTTAGAAATATCTATTGAATCCGCTGGGCATAAGATCTTCAATAAAATTGTGATTATGGCAGCGGATGAAACAACTGCCAGCTGACGAAAAGACCCTCCAAAGAAAACAGAAATTGATAGGCCCCACTCCCATCTAACATGAATCCAGAAGTAAAAAAAATAAACGAGGTCTACCATGTAAGACTGGAAGACGACAAAATGGAAGCGTGCAAACATCATGGAAACTACCTATAGCTCACTTATTCAATCACTGTATGGGCACATTTATAGAATCATTTAGAAAGCAAACAGAAAAGACTTTTTTCTATCTATATTGATATTTTTACTTTAACTTAGTTTTATTTTCTTATTTTCAGTGTATTTAAAAGCTTGTTGCTATACACGTTTTAAAATTTGTTTTATTTTCTACTTTTTAGTGATCCATAAGTTTGGAGTCAGATGATCAGAAAGGCAGCAATAAAACTCATTTTTTTACAAACAGTAATGAATTGCACTAACGTTTATTATGAATCACCTTACTTTTACAATGAAACTAATATATTTGAAAATATTAAATAAAATCTATATTTACATTTTTTTTAAAAGAACTGAGAAATTTAAAGGAGAAAAGGAGGGAATGGATCTCTCTTATCAACAGGGACTTTTACTTCTTGAGAAAGAACCAGGAATTCAGCTGGCTGAGATGAAGGACAGAAGACAGTACATTGAAATAGATGCTAACTCAAACCTATTGTGTTTTTAAATTCTGCTGTTCAGTGGATATTGTGACATACATTATGTCAATTTACCAATAACTATGTAAACCTACACAAATAACCCATCCGTCTTAGGGATGGTTTGATTTCACACCTCATTACATTTTACAGGTTTTAAGGACTTATAATACATGCTGGGATCATAAACATATTTATTTTGACAGATTTGAAGCAAGAAGTTACACTATGCTCCACAATGGACTGAGGCGCAAGCTTTACTATCACGCTACAGCTTTAAAGCTGTCATGCTTATTTAAAAATGTCTTATTAAGATAATGAACACCCAGAAGACATATTATATAAAGAATGCTCACAATAAAATGCATTAAACTGTTTCTGTGTTATCTAATATTTCCATAGATAAGAGAATGGTTAGGAATATGTTCAATTGTATATATTTGTCTTGACAATACATTATGATTGTGGTTAAGCCAATAGTAGGGTATGCAATTGTGAGTTTTGGCTGATCATTGACAGGTTACACATATGGTTTGATTTGTAAATTTCAGTATGCAGGTCAGCTGGCCACATTATGTGGTGGATAAAGGTGATCAGGTAATAAAAATGCAATGTTCTTCTGTAAACAATTTCGTAGCTTACTAGAAAACAAACTACATTTTTTCACGTTTCAGATATAGCTAAAGTTCAATTATATATTTCACAGCTCACCAGACTATTAAGGTGATCTAGTCGATCTAGTTGCTTACATTATGTTATTGAATATAGTAATATATGGTTGATTTAATTTTGGTATCGCACTTATTTTCGAATCCGTTTGATCGATTTTTAATGACTAATTAAACATCTACTTAAATTAAAAAAATAGATAATTTTTGTATTGTCATCAAAGGGGGACGTATTTGGAAAGTTTGAAAGAAGTCGCTGTATTAAAAGTAAGTCTAAATTGAGTTACAAGATTTAACACAAACCCACAAACAAACAAACAAACAAACAAACAAACAGACGTTTCGAACTAAATACAAGCTTGTAAAAAACGGAAAGCACGGGCAATAATACATTTAGAATGGGATTTCTTGGATGATCTCTGCATCTCTACATGAGAAGCAGTTAAATCTGTCTAATAACTGTTTTATCTAACACGTCTATTAAGTTAGAAAACTTTATGATTAAATGCTTTTAAAGTACTAAAACTGTGTGGTAACCAAATGTCACAGAAAACGAATCATTTTCATCAATGTGAGATCTATTTTGCTTTATGGCTCATGGACATGGAGGAAATACTTAAAACAAGAAACACGTTTCAGGGCTAAATAGAAAGAAAAATAGGGAAATAATAATCTCACGTTGAAGACAAAATATCTGATCTTCACCTTTAGGAGAATAGCAATGAAGAACCAAAAAAAGAACGAAATAAAAGAAAAGAAGTGAGGTGTAGAATGTCTACTCAACAGATTATATCACAACCTGAGAGACGCTGGTATAGAAGCTAAAAATAAAGAGAAAGGGAATAAGGCCCTGGTTATCATAGACGACAACGCTCATAGAAGATGTGGTGAGATTAACAAGACAAAAAAATAATATTAATAGAAGCAGTAGAGGACGACCCTAGTGTAACGTGGTCAGAAGTTTTACACCGTTTATTAGTAATGCCTAAGCCCGGTAGAGGGACATACATTTATAAGGTCCTACACCCATTGATGTAGATTAAGAGTAGGCAAAGAATATTCTCTTAAGAGTCATACTGCATATTTAACAGAGTTACATACTTTTTTTATCTTTTATATATTTGGCTTAAACATTAATAATTAAAGAAAAGAAAATATAGAAGACTAAATGCTACTGGATTTAACGTTACGGTATTTGTTGATGTCAGCTCTTTGTGACGTTAATAGGTGTTTTGCTTTGTCTGTTCGACACGGACCTCATTACATTTTCTGTTGTCTGATCTAAATCCCAGGCTGACCCACAGTAACATACATTTATCAGCTTCTTAACATTGGAATGAAATGAATATTCGTTCCTACATAACCAATGTCATAGATCTGTTATCATTCATTTACTACACAACGTTTAGCTAATACACCCACAATAACAAAGTTTTTGAATTTCCTTACAATCAACACATAATTTCAAATATTTTCAGTGATAAAATAGTTAATATCCTTTAACAGTACAGTTACCAAAAAAAGCGTTTATTTTCAAATACCTCCACATGAAGCCTCACAACCCTCGATACACGAAGCCAAAGCGTTAAAAAAACAACCATTTCGTTGTAGAAAAAAAGCACTATATTATAATTGAATGTAAAGCTATTTAAATACTAATTTCTTTAAATTATGAGATAAACATTACTTGAAAGCAATAATGGTTCCTCTGGGTCCTCGAATAGTCCATGTATTGTTGGTTGCAGAAGATTTCGAAGTATTTCCTGCATTGGTTATCGTTCCAGTTGTGGCATTTAAGACTTTATTTAAATCTATAAAATAAAATTTGTTTAACATTGCAAGGATATATTTGCGAGATATTAACTTATTATTTATCTTTATATAATCGTGTGTAACTAAAAGACAATTACGAAGTTATTACATAACCTAGAGCAATATAAGAGTGAAAAAAATATCGAATCTGGTTTACATTTAAAGTTATTTTATCTTTATAAGAATAAATAATAATTGGCTGCCAGAAACGTAAAATAAAAACTGATCATCAATTCAACAAAAAATTCAACGAATGTTGCACATATTTACAATATGCCTAGTAAATTTTTCGACGACGTAACGAATCTAGATTGGACTATAGACTCTAAAATTATCTCTGCACCTTGTGTTAACAAATGGTTATTACGGCACAAACTCCGGATTGTTGTAAACTCATATACCTTTGATCTCGTAATTTACATACAATCCGGAGTTTGTGCCGTAATAACCATTTGTTAACACAAGGTGCAGAGATAATTTTAGAGCTAAAGGTTGTATATGGTTTATGCTCTCTGTATTGTACCTTGTTAGATACAATTTATAAAGTTAGCCTTTTAAATGGAATGCAGAGAAGCACCACAGAGGAACGGAATAAAGAAAGTGTGTTGAACAGAATGTATTGAATATCTTAACAGTAAGGTCCTACGCCAGTGATCGAGTTTAGGCTTATTAATATTAAAATACCTCTGATCTCGTACTTTCCATAAAAGCCTCTAAAGTTTATAGAGTTAGTACTGTAGAACACAATGTGTAAGTAGTTACTGGTTGAAACAATCAGCCGAGGTGACATCAAGCAGGAATCCAAACATGACGAATTAGCTGTAGGTCCATCGTATATATTAAGGGAGTTATAGTAACAACTCCAGACGTCTAAGTTGGAATCAATTAAACTGTAACAAAAAACAAATTGTATTTAAATTGCGCAGATTTCAAAATTGACTCCTACTCCAGCTTTCGCCCATTTGTGCAATTTCGAATCATTTCATTCATTCATGCAAACTTACACTCATTCACTCTTATACTTATATACTCATACACTCATAAAGTCATGTACTGATAAACTCAAACATTAAGAAGACGTAGCTTGAGGTTCATCGAGTACTTTAAGGTTTGTATAGTGACAGCCAAAGTTGTATAGTTTAGTATCAGTTATTCTGTCAGGACATTTTTGTCTAATTACTTACATACATATATGTGGTTGTTTTTTTTTTATCCCTAATCCAATTCTTATTAATAATCATACTCCTATTCATATTTCCATTCCAACTGCAATTCATATAATCATATATACATAGTTAATATATAATTGCAAGATATAAGCAGAAAACTTACTTAAGAATGATGAACGTATCAGGCTGGCCTTGTATAGTCCAGGTGTAAAACTTGTTCTTTAGGAAACCCAGTGGATAACCAGGGCTAGAGATGAAACCCTGAGGCTCGGTTAGCGTGATGTTTGTATCTGCATGTTTTGTTAAATTGATTAATGTTTATTTTGACATTGAACAATAAAATGAATTGTCTATATACACTGATCGAGTTATTAAAAAGCATACTTTACTTTAGTTTTCGATTTCAGACTTTCGTTTACATTCTACTTTAAACGTTTGTGTTTTGTGCAATGTTTTGCCATATTATTTATATGAGCATTGTACATAAATAGGAATGTTGTATAGATTTAGGTTATTGTTATGGCGCGTTCAGGGTAAATGGTTAAAACAGGCTATAGCTAATTAGGTTAGAGAGACCAATGAAAATACAAGAGCTGACCTGTCACGTGGGACGGTCAGCTGACCACTGATGCGTGGGTCAGTAGTTAGATCAGCGGCAGTTAGTGATACGTAGGTAAGGAGAACGGACAGAGAAATGTAGAGTTAGGTAGAGAGTTAGAATGTAGTGTGTTAGGATTGGTCATGGGAGTGCGTAGTTTGTAGAGCAAATAGTATATAGTTTATGTTAGTTAGATAAAGTAGGAAGTTGATTGTTTAAATTGTAATAAAGGACATTATATTTCATCTTAACCACCCCCACACTCACATTTAGTGGTACTGCTTTTCCCCACCCTCAAAACTGACGGTAGATCCTCCAATCAACCCCATCCTAACAGTTATGTTTGTTGTTACTTTACTCATGTAAGTATCGTTATTATTATTCTGTTATATTTATTTTATTATTAACATATTAACAATCGCAATCTGTACCCAATTTTCTAGATGTAGGTACACATCACGATCAAGACATCTCTAATGTGTTGATTCCTAGCTTTCATGATTCGTAGTGTTATGTATAAAAACTAAATAATTTCCTACGAAAAAAAAAATTACAACGCATATTTAAGTTTAAGAAAAAATCATTGTATCCGACAAAAAGCTCCAGGGAAGGAGTGTGCATTTGTTTTAAATGTTTTGCATCACTAATCTAATTTATTTATCAGGCGTATAGAATAAAGCTTTTTATTGTGTTAAGCCAATATTAACAGTATACACATCTATTACACATTACGAGTTACGAAATGCAAAAAAAAATATTTTTAAATAAGGTTGTATGTATCCTTCTTTTATTGGCTATCCGACAAATGCTAATATTAGTCTACTACTTACAACGCTTTTTGAAAATCTATTAGTCTAAATATATTTTTATTTTTCGAATCGAAAAGCTATTTACTTTAATTTTTTGAGAACTATAATAACAATGAAAATAAAAATAAAATAATTCTTAAATTAAGTACATCCCTTTTAAATATAAAAAAGCAGATCCATTTTCAGCATCTAGATCTAGATATTACTATTTCTAACAATTTGATATTTCCTTTAAAGTACATGAAACATGGTTTACCAAAATTTTACGAGTAGCGATCCCTTTTATAAATAGTTAGTGATCAGCGACCCCCTTAGTATTAAATGTCGAAATTAGTAAATAAATTAATATACAATAAAATAAGATTCACTGTTTTAATGCGATGGGTAAGATTGATTGTGACGCTAAATCTTTTACTTTTTTTCTGAAAGCCTGATTTTGACCCAAACATAGACAGCGTATCATCAATACACACCCCACAGCAGTTTTCCCATTGTACTTCTCAAGTTAAAAAAAAACTATTTGTTTACTCCATGATATCTTCACTTTTTGCAGTAGTTTCAAGTGCACTACAAAATAAAAACTCTTCTTTATTTATTAACTTGAAAAGCAAACAATAGTGCAAGCTTGATTTCATTTAAAATGTATTATTTAACATCTACGGACATGTATGCCACACGCCGCTGAATAGTGTTATTAGACAGATATATTTGCTGCATCTTTACTGCACGGGGATCCCCAAGAACTAATTTCATCATCTTTAACATGCAAGGTTTGATGATTTTATGATATTTTCTCCAATTGCGTGAGGGTTTTTTTTTGCTTGGCGATATCTAATGCGATTTCATATGATGCCTGCACTAATGCTGTATTTCCGTGGTGAAAACTTTCTTTTTGATCGTCTCTGACGTTTGCAACTAGCTTCATGCCGACGAAAGACCTCCATATTTTTTTGGTGTGTACGAACGACTCGTCTTAAAATGACTAAGAACAATCTAAAAACTTCAATACTCTGTTCATCAACCAAGAAAACAAACCCCCTCAGAGATCTCGAGATTAAAGCAGTAAAAAGCTAAAACGGAATAAGTAATAAAATAAAAAAATTAGAAAAGTATAAGGAAGTATTGGAGGAATCGCTCTCTCTTTCGTCATTTAATATGAAATTAATCAAACTTCTGCATATGCTAATGCCTACGCTTATTTTTACGCGTATGTTTATGCTTTGTTAGGCAAATTGATGCGCATGAATGCTGTTGCAGGACTATATTGAACGAGTGAAAGTGTGACGCGGTACGCAAGATTGTGACGTTTTAGTGGATGATTGTTGTTGCCGGTAATGAAGCTGAAAGTAGTCTTGTTATTGTAGTTTTGGGTGAGGACGTAAATGTATTCAAGTTATAATATCGCTTGTACAGGTCGTTATATGTACTATATGTGTAATAAACAGCAGAGTCAACTAAATTCATCCTATCAAGGGATTTGTATGCATTTATGTCGTCGTGCTTTAGGATGAACTACTGAATGGCTAGAAAGAATATAATGGTAGTGTAAGCCCTCTCACTGCATAGCTTCGGCACACATAATCCCCAGTTATAACATTTACGCTTATGCTTAAATATACATGATATATATTTTTTAGACAATTAATGTGCATTTTCACTTTACTATGTATTTTTTTTATATTACATGAGTCACTAATCTTAACATACATAGTCATATGCTTTTTCTTTCTAAAACCACTTTCATTTTCTACACACCAAAAATCAAAACGCATATTTAATTTGAAAAAAAAAAACAGTGTCCAACGAACCTATTTGGGAAACAGCTTGCCTTTCTGACTTTAATAGGCATATAGGGTATACAAAAACATTTACCGTGTTAACAATATATATATATATATATATATATATATATATATATATATATATATATATATATATATATATATATATATATATATATATATATATATATTTATATTTATATTTATATAAGAATACACGTTATGATGCGCTTATAAACTAATTTTTCAGTAAATGTGTACGTACTAATTTTATTGGCTGTCAAACAAGTGTTATTATTAGTCCGTTATTTATTTTTAAAGAATCTGAATGCTTTTTAGTCTAAAGTTTAGTACATTATTGTTATTGAAATGTCATTTACATTCATTTGTCAATAAAAAAAAATAACAGGGCAATTAAAAGTTTTAATTCCCGGTTTAAAAACAACCCTCTCGAATATTAAATAAAGAAGTCAAGCGGATCATGTTTTAGCCCCTCGATATTACAAATCTAACAATCTCATTTTTTTATATTCCTACTAAATTCTATAGAAAATATCATGATAGTGGAATGTCGGTAGGTAGTCAATTTAGTATTTCTAAAATTGCTGTTTATTAAGTACGGGTCAGTCTAGGTGACATATTGATAAATGTAAATGCTACTGGTGGGGTAGCTATAGATTATTTACAAAGGAGAGAGAAATCAAAGCATGTTACCGTTAAGCTTATCTGCAAGTAACTGATTTAATTTACATGTGATTAACAAAACAACAGTTGTACTTCCTCAAATTTGCATTTATATTGTAGATATTTAAGTTCATACACAGAATAAATTATCAAACTATTATGTATTCAAAGATTTTAAAAATTAAATACTTACCTAAAATTTTATAGGTAGCTAGAAATGTGGCATTTCCTGATGTCTTAAATTCCACATGCATGAAGTTTGTTGTTGATAATGTCAGTATTTGCCGGGCTGTACACATTTTCCCAAATGACCTAAAAAGTGTCGACGGTCCATCAAATATCTCAATGTAATCAGCTGCACAGATTTCATTTGTACCCATATCCATGTATGTTAGGCTAAAAAGATTAAGTATTATAAATTAAAACATCTATTCATTTATATCTATAATAATAGTTTCGCTATTCTGTCACAAGCAATATTAAAACGTTCAAAGTCAAGCGAAAAACGAAACCTGACGTCACATGGAACATGTAGTAGGAAATAGTCTAAACAAGGAAAAAATACACATATAAATTTTTCTGGGAAAGAAGGGGGGGGGGGGACGGACATCGGTAAAAATACATTTTCTATATAAATCCTTTTTAGTTTTAGGGGACGGTAGACGCTTCGAGGATGAGGGGCTCTGTCTCAAAATCCCCTCCACCTGTTGATGCGCCTGAAACAAACTCTAAATGCGACTTTTGTCATGTTTTAACTTGGGTGTAGGGTTTAAGAGTATGACTGTCTATATTTAGTATCAATGTGCAGTAACTTCGTCTAGATCAAACCTAATTCCAATTAAAGTGGCGATTCTGGATAAAAATCCGTTTTCAATGACATTTGTCGTTTCCGGTTAAGTTTGCAGTTGAGGTGTTGATTTCGGTTTTGATTTCGGTTTAAAGAAAAGAAAAAAGACAACACTATCAACCTAGCGCCATTTGTATTTCTCCCTCAACGGGAGATTTTTCTCGTACTAAAATATGTAGGATACTAAACTAGATATTTCTAGTCTGAGCGACTGGGTTCTGTAACTATTGTATTATTAGCTTTACGGGGTATTTTAATTTAAAGGCAAAAGAAATTTTAGATTCCAGTGTTGAAAGCTTTTGTTATAAAGCAATATTATTGAGACGATATTTTTATCAATTTGTATATTTAATGCAATGTTTTATTCGTGAGGGTTTATATATTTCTATTAAAAATGTTAGGCTTTTTTTTCTTTTACGAGTAATCGATTTAAGAGCCTTATTTTTTGGTATCCGAAATATGTAAGTATGTGCGATTCAGTTACAAACTGGAAGTTTAGGCTTTTCTTTATCATAGTTCAAAGCGAACAGGATATATCTGATGGTGAAACGATAATTACTTTTTAAAATCTTTTTAAATTCTTGAATATTATTATTCGTTAGTTAATTGTTATATGTATTTTCCGGTTATTAAAGATTAATACTTTAGGACCACGTTTATGTTTTCCAGGATAATTTGATGAAAGAACTATAAAGTTTTAACTTAATTATGTCCCTCGCATTGAGATTATTTAATATCCCTTTTCTTGGTGATAACATACATTTTCATTATTATTGTTAATGGGCTGATATTTTCCTCATATTTAATTTTAATATGACTTAACATTTAGCTTAAGGACGTAAAGTCATTATCCACCTTTTCAGTGTTAAATGAAATAATGTTTACTTATAATGTTTTCGTTCCGCTTCTACCAGTTTCGCCTGTGTGTGTCTATTTTATCTTACATTGCCCACGGTTATGTGGAGTGTTGGTTTCGACTTTTTTACTTTCTCGTATATACGAAGTATAGAGAAAGTCTTGTAAGTCTTGCAAAAAAAAATCGACGATTTTTACAAATCTCGACGATTTACATCTCACTGATACGGAAAAACATAATTTTGCAATCTTATCCGTATGTCTGTGTGTCTGTCTGTGTGTCTGCCTGTCTCTGTGTGTGTGTGTAAACACGATAACTTGAGTACCGTTACAGCTAGGTTGATGAAATTTAACACATAAGTATTTTATAAAAATCGTAGATCCGTATCGACTTCTGAGCGATTTTCGATAACCGGAAGTGGTACTTTTTCTACTTTGAAATGTTCAAAAGCCTATTACTTGAGTACTATTTCGGATAGATAAACGAAATTTCACATGTAAGTAAAAGATCTAATTTTCTACCTTCTGTCAAATTTTGAGAATTTTTCGTTGACCGGAAATACTTATTTACGCTACTTCCGATTTCTCAAAAAACTAATGTAAATTTTAAAAGTACTAATAATATTGCGCACTATTATGCGCTTTTTTATTCGCGTTCACTTGGTGTGCAATTAATTTGTCTACGAGATTTTATTCTATTTTTAAAACTTTAAGTATTTAAAATGGATTAAAAATCATGTCTATAGCCCGAGTTCCCATCCCCTGTTATTTTATATAAAAATATTCGAGAAAGTTTAGGGGAGATCACTCCCGGTTTATTTTAAAACATTCTACACATTTAGAGTTAAATACACTTGTAAGAACTACATGTTACATCCTGTAAATTGTTGATGGGGGCGTGACAACTAGAAGGTAAAGCAAATACAGAAAGACAAGGCACATCTATTTGAATTTTACCCTTAACAACTGACAAGTCTATCGCACTTTTAAATTGTCGTATTTTTCTTCCATCATAGTAACATAGATATGTAACTCGGATTATGGTCGGATAGGAGTAAGTTTGATTGCTATTTCTGAGAAACTCAACTCGAACCGTTCGGCAGATGATGTTCGTTAGATGGGTACATCAACTCATCTCGTTGAGGAAAGTCCAAAACCAAACAACCAAAAATTATACAGATATTTCGTCAATACTGTGAAAAACGAAAACAATAAATCGGGATGATCTCCCCTAAAACTTTCTTGAATATCCATATATAACCCTACGGGGGATGGCAACTTGGGATATAGACAATATTTTAAATCCAATACTTAAACTTAATTGCTTAAACTTTTTAAAATACAATAGAATCTCGAAGAAAAAGAATTGCACACCAAATGAACGCCAAATAAAATGTGTAGAATATTGTGGAAAATTATTAATACTTTATAAATTCGCATCGGAAACAGCCTAAATTACTATTTTCGGTCAACAAAGTTACTCAAAGTTTGATAGAAGGCAGAGATATTATTCTTATATATGAAATTTCATTTATCTGTCTGAAATAGTACTCAAGTTATAGGTTTTTGAAAAATTGAAGGTAGAAAAAGTTTCACTTCCGTTTTTTGGAAATCGCTCAAAACTTGATACGGGTCTACAAATTTGATATGATTCTTTTATATGAAATTACATAAACCTAGCTGTAACGGTATTCACGTTATCGTCTTTACAGAAACACATACATACACATACACATACAAACACAAACATACGGACAAGATTAAAAAAATATGTTTTTCCGACTCAGGGAGGTGTAAACGTCGAGATTTTCAAAAATATCGATTTTGTTTTTGCACAATTACAATACTTTCACTTTACTCTGTAAACGAGAAAGTAAAAAGATAAACTGTGTCTTTACATAGGGTTGGCAATGCAAGAACAGCCTACAAAAACATATTTTGGGTTGCCGATATTTAATAGAAACATAATCATCTCGAACTCAATAGTAAACTTCTTTTACCCCTCGGAGTTAAGTCATAGAGTATAAATGATAAAATTAAATACAGTCCTTGATAAATGAATGCCTTAGAAATATCTAATGAATCCGCTGGGCATAAGATCTTCAATAAAATTGTGATTATGGCAGCGGATGAAACAACTGCCAGCTGACGAAAAGACCCTCCAAAGAAAACAGAAATTGATTGGCCCCACTCCCATCTAACATGAATCCAGAAGTAAAAAAAAATAAACGAGGTCTACCACGTAAGACTGGAAGACGACAAAATGGAAGCGTGCAAACATCTTGGAAACTACCTATAGCTCACTTATTCAATTACTGTATGGGCACATTTATAGAATCATTTAGAAACAAACAGGAAAGACTTTTTTCTACCTATATTGATATTTTTACTTTAACTTAGTTTTATTTTCTTATTTTCAGTGTATTTAAAAGCTTGTTGCTATACACGGTTTAAAATTTGTTTTATTTTCTACTTTCTAGTGATCCATAAGTTATGGAGTCAGATGATCAGAAAGGCAGCAATAAAACTCTTTTTTTTTACAAATAGTTATGAATTGCACTAACGTTTATTATGAATCACCTTACTTTTACAATGAAATTAATATATTTGAAAATATTAAATAAAATCTATATTTACATTTTTTTCAAAAGAACTGAGAAATTATAAAGGAGAAAAGGAGGGAATGGATCTCTCTTATCAACAGGGACTTTTACTTCTTGAGAAAGAACCCGGAATTCAGCTGGTTGAGATGAAGGACAGGAGACAGTACATTGAAATAGATGCTAACTCAAACCTATTGTGTTTTTAAATTCTGCTATTCAGTGGATATTGTGACATACATTATGTCAATTTACCAATAACTATTATGATTGTGGTTAAGCCAATAGTAGGGTATGCAATTGTGAGTTTTGGCTGATCATTGACAGGTTACACATATGGTTTGATTTGTAAATTTCAGTATGCAGGTCAGTTGGCCACATTATGTGGTGGATAAAGGTGATCAAGTAATAAAAATGCAATGTTATTCTGTAAACAATTTCGTAGCTTACTAGAAAACTACATTTTTTCACGTTTCAGATATAGCTAAAGTTCAATTATATATTTCACAGCTCACTAGACTATTAAGGTGATCTAGTCGATGTAGTTGCTTACATTATGTTATTGAATATAGTAATATATGGTGTGATTTAATTTTGGTATCGCACTTATTTTCGAATCCGTTTGATCAATTTTTAATGACTGATTAAGCATCTACTGAAATTAAAAAAATAGATAATTTTTGTATTGTTATCAAAGGGGGACGTATTTGGAAAGTTTGAAAGAAGTCGCTGTATTAAAAGTAAGTCTAAATTGAGTTACAAGATTTAACACAAACCCACAAACAAACAAACAAACAAACAGACGTTTCGAACTAAATACAAGCTTGTAAAAAACGGGCAATAATACATTTAGAATGGGATTTCTTGGATGATCTCTGCATCTCTACATTCTCAGAAAATCAGCAGCTAATGAAGAAGCAGTTAAATCTGTCTAATAACTGTTTTATCTAACACGTCGATTAAGTTAGAAAAATTTAGGATTATATGCTTTTAAAGTACTAAAACTGTGTGGAAACCAAATGTCACAGAATACAAATCATTCTTATCAATGTGAATTCTATTTTGCTTTATGGCTCATGGACATGGAGGGAAATACTTAAAACAAAAAACACGCTTCAGGGCTAAATAGAAAGAAACATAGGCAAATAATAATCTTACGTTGAAGACGATATATCTGATATATCCACACCCCTAATGAACACAAGCAGTTGAGAGGTGAAACAGCTGTCCAGCTACTCATCCATTGCAATTAAAAAATAGTTAAACGTACTTGCATTTTCGCGATTTTAGTCAAGATGTTTTCACCAATGTCTGCAACACGGTGGGCAAAGGTATTTGCACCCAAAGCTACATTTTCAAATTGTTTTGAATTTTCTGGGCAAAGTCCCTCAGCCATCTCAAACAGAATTTTTTTCCGTGGACAAAAAGATTTCCGCGGGCCGGATAAGAGGACTTTGCGGGCCGCATCCGGCCCGCGGGCCGTAGTTTGGAGACCCCTGCAGTAGACGACGACCGTCTTGTAACGTGATCAGAAGCTTTACTCCGTGTATTAGTACTACGTCAGCCCGGTAGAGGGACATTCATTTATAAGGCCCTACACCCATTCATGTCGTTTAAGTTTAGGCAATGAATATTCTCTTAAGTCGGGAGTCGGCGTGGTCGAGTCGGTAAAGCTCATAGTTGCTGAACCGAAAAGTCTCGAGTTCGAACCCTCGGGCAGATGAGGCTCGTTAGCTGGGGACAGCCACTCATCCAGGAGAGACAACTCCAAAATCAAACAACTGCTGCCTTGTAGCTTGTTCTTGGTTGCACAAAGGCTATGGAAGCAAATCCAAAAAGAAAAGCAGGTTGAAATCCGAGTCAATGGCCTCAATGCCGCATAACCAGTTGACACGTAATCCCTAATTGTGATGGAAGCATGGTCGAGTCGGCAAAGCTCATGGTTGATAAATTCGAAAAAAGTCTCAAGTCTCTGGCAGATAAGGCTCGATCCCTCCCAACACTAAAATTAAGAACGAAGAAGAAGAAGATACTGTATATTAAACAGGGTTACATACCTTTTTTATCTTTTATATTTTTGGCTTAAATATTAATAATTAAAGAAAAGAAAATATAGAAGAATAAATGCTACTAGATGTGACGTTACGGTATTTGTTGGTGACAGGTCTTTGTGACGTTTATGACTGTTTTGTTTCTTCTGTTCGATACACGGACCTCACTAAATCTTCTGTTGTCTGATCTAGCTCCCAGGCTGACCGATAGTAATATATATTTTATCAGCTTCTTAACATTTAAATGATATGGAATATTCGTCCCTACATAACCAATGTTACAGATTTGTTATCGTCTTTTTACTACACAACTTTAAGCTGACACACCCACAATAACAAAGTTATTAAATTTCCTTACAATCAACACATAGTTTCAGATATTTTCAATACTAAAATAGTTAATATCATTTATCAGTAAAGTTACCAAAAAAAAGCGTACATTTTCAAGTATCTTCACATGAAGCCTCACAACCCTCAATACACGGAGCAAAAGCGTTAAACAAAAACCGATTTTTTTTTTTAGAAACAACATTAAATTAGAACTGTCTGTAAATGCTATTTAAATACTAATGTCTTAAAATTATAAGATAAACATTACTTGAAAGCTATAATGGTTCCTCTGCGTCCTCGAATAGTCCATGTATTGTTGGTTGCAGGAGAACTCGAAGTATTTCCTACGTTGGTTATCTTTCCAGTTGTGGCATTTAAGACCTCATTTAAATCTATAAAACAAATGTTTACATTTCAAAGATATATTTACGAAATCTCAAAACATGAATTTTCCTAATAGGATCATGTGTAAATAAAACGCAATTACGGAATTATTACATAACATAGAGCAATGTAAGCTTGAGAAAAATATCGAATCGGGTTTAAATATAAATTTATTTTAGCTTTATAAGAATAAAAAATAATTGGTTACCAAAAAACGTAAAAAAAAACCGACCATTAATTCAACAAAAAACTCGACATTCTTTCGAAAACCGTTGGGCTTATGTAAGCGCATTAACATCTGATCTCGTAATTTTCATACAATCCTGATTTATTGTCGTAGTAAGCTTATGTTAATACAAGGTGCATAGATAATTTTAGAGTGTATAGTCAAGTCTAGACTCTTTAGGTAGTCGAAAAAGTTGCTAGGCATAAAACTGATTACACTATTCTTTCTATTAAAAGTATATGTTTATGAACAGACAACATAGGCACAAAATACGGAAAAACGATTATTCGGTTTAGATTGCAACAGATCTGAATGTTGCTTTTTTTTTACTACAAAGCAATACTGCTAATGGAAATATGTGCTTCATTTGTATTGGTCTGTTTAAGAGTGAATTACATAAGTGTGTTTCTTTATTGTACATTTTGCTTACATTTTCCGCTGGTTAAACCTTTTGTACTGTACAAAGTCAAACTTTACTGATAATGCGAAAACATTAACAAAACCTGGAAGATCCTTTGATCTTTTCTAATTTGCCTTAAAATGCAAATAAGACTTTTAGATCATTGGTTCCCAAACTTTTTTCAAGTGACGACCCCATTTTATAAAACGTAAGTGAACCGCGACCCCCATAGAATTTAAAGTCGAAATTAGTAATGAAATCAATAAGCACTAAAATAAGATGTTCTTGAGTCTTTGAATATGAACTATTCTTGCTAACTGTTTTAATACGATGAGTAAAATGTCATGTTATTAACTAGCCTCAACATTCGCGGTTACGTTTTTGTTAACGCCAACCTTATGTCATTCTCAAAATTAAATTTCTTTCTCCATTTTAATTTTTAGTTGGAGAAGTGTTAGAAACTAAAACTCGAAAGGATTTCACGGTCGGAATCCACTGCATGATTCACGGGTATGTCCTCGCCAGCAAGGCTCTTCCAACCCCATAGCTAATAAAAGTCGTAAATTATATCAAATATGGAGCTCTAAACATCCGTCTGTTTAAAGAACTGTGCAAAAACATGCATACAGATCACTTTTAATTCTATGTGGGTCGCGGTTCACTTACTTTTTATAAAAGGGGTTCCACCGCTTGAAAAGGTTTGGGAACCACTGAACTAGAATGATAATGTGAAAAATTATTTGGTCTTTTTAGTTTTAATTTGGAACATATGTTGACCAATGTTTATGTTTGGCTGAATATTTACCTCTACATTAAAATGCAGTATTATGTTATCTGTTACCCTTCATGTAGAATAGATTATTCAGTTCACATAACCATAACGTGTTATAAGAGGATTAAGTCTTACATGAATTCGAGGTTACATTTGTTTAACGAGTAATAATTTAAAGACCATTTTTTGACACAATATTAGGCAGTAGCGTAGCTAGGATCGTTTTATTGCAGTGGCGGAACTAGAAAAAAAGGGGCCACCATTTTGGCCCTCCCCCACTCCTCTCTCTCTCTCTCTTTATATATATATATATATATATATATATATATATATATATATATATATATATATATATATATATATATATATATATATATATAGATGTAACCCTCACTTAGTGGGAATGCTTTTACCCCTTGAAGTGTTTTGGTTAAGATGGGCTGACCCTGAGATGTAGGACACACTGACACCGACAGTTGTTGTCAAGTACTGGCTTTATTCACTGCATCGAGCCATGACGGCGATGCAGAACACAGTAGTACGACGATTACAGATGAATACCAAAATAGGAAAAAGGAAGTAAAAAACTGAAGAGAGAGAGTGAGAGACTGTAGCCTTCATTGGATCTACATCTTGGTACCGTCACCGTGTCCACAGACAGCTGCCTTGCGTGTGACTGACTACCCATAGTAACAGGTAACATCGCGCACAAGAGTATGCAACACAACTACGTCAACAGGGCTACGGCCCCACAGGGGCCGCAACTCAATGAATTAAAACTTTATTTGTTATCCGCCCTTGGCTGGTAACCATATGTGTTACACAGCCCCCCTCACAAATAAATGTACAATGGAAGTTACATTTACATTTACAACTCAAAAATAATTGTACTTAAAAAATTCAGTACAGTAGTACACAGACATTAAGTCCTAACAAATCAAATATATTATTCCCGGCAAAACGGTAGAGGCTCCAGTGCTGGTACTGGTCACCACTTGATGCGCCAGGTTGAGTCGCTCGACGGGTCGTCGTTGCCGGGTTGACTTCCGCAGCTCCGCTGGTGGTTCTGGGTTGATCAAAGAGTCATCCTCGTCCGATGCCTCGTCCCTCGCATTCACCTCGTCCATATGTGGGGCTGGCCTGACCATCACCTTTTCTTGCCCGTCCCGGGCGACCACCTCTGGCACGAAAGGCGTTGCGCCTGCCGAAGTCTGGTTGGGATCACCTTGTTTGCCAGTTCATCACCGTCATCTGTCTTCCTGGTTGGGATGATCTCTTTCCGGCGCTCCCCCTCAACTACTGTTGTTTCTGAACTCGACATTGTATAGTCGGGTCGCTGCCAACCACGTCGGCCTCTCCACCTCTGCTTGTGTCATGTCTGTCTCCCAAGCGACGATCTTGCTCGCGCTGAGACTAACATTCATGGTGTGGCTGTCTACCCTCCTCACGCGCACCGTCCGGCTGCAACCCTCCTCCACGGCGGAACACCCGACAGCCGTACCTACTGCCACTAGGCGAGGTAACCTGAGCTGTGGTTGCTCGACACTGTGCTGATCTCGGTGGCGTAAACTTGGGCTGGGAGCTTGACAGACCACGCATCAGCATCCGCTTCCCGACGCTGATGGACTGTCGTTTCCCTGCTGCTGACCCCGTTGCCTAGCTGCTTTCCTCGGACAGTCGCGGACATAGTGCTCTCTGGATCCGCACCCGTAACAAGCTCCTCTGGAGGGCCGCTGTTTCCGGGCTAGGATGTCTGCTACCTTCTCCGCCAGACGGTCGAGTTGTTCCTCCGTGAGCATCAGCGGCGTCGTCTCTTGGCGAACAGCTGCCGTTACTGCGTCGACCTGGATAGTCTTGTTAGCTGATGCCGTGGCTACGACTGGGGACTCAGTTGTTCCATCCAGCCTTTTAACAGCTTTCAGGACGTCCTCCACCTTCGGACTGGCTTCCCCTGCGAACACAAATGTGCCGCAAAGTTCGAGCGCCAGAAGAGCTGAAACCTCCTTGCAGAAGGTGTGATACACCTACTTCTGGGCGTCGGCCGCAGTAAAAACACGCTGCTGGTTCAGCCTCGTAATCTCTGACCACAGTCGGCAGAGAAATTCCGACGTGACTCTCTTGGTTGTGGAGTGAGTCGGCTGAACTGCAGATACCTGTCGTCGGCACATCGGGTGTCGCCAAACGCGCTTTGTAGTAGGCTTAGCACTTCCTCTGGACTCGTAGCCTGCTTTACCTGCTCATAAGCAATCCCTCTCAGGCTGCCTAAGATGCGTCGCAACGGGTTAGGAACGCTGGTGTTTTCGCAGCAAACATTGCACTTGGGTTTCCCAGTTCGGGAAACTCACCTCCCCTCCTCCAGTATATATATATATATATATACACACACACACACATATATTTATATATATATATATATATATATATATATATATATATATATATATATATATATATATATATATATATATATATATACGCGATATAATACAATAATCATCTTCATTACTAACAATGTGATTGAATATTAACTATTACTTAAGAAAATACAGCCTCTAGTCAGCTTTGACAAATCTAAAGGATTTTCCTGAACTTTATTTTTTTCGGGATCATTATTTGTTTGGTCTACAATCTAAGGAAGTTTTCAAACTAGGTTTTCAAACTAGTTTTATCGACTAAGTGAAGTGTAAAACGTAAAGATTGTTGAAAATATTGATTTCGATTCTTTGCACGATTCTAACACGTCCTCTTACTTCATATACGAGAAAGTACTAAGAGCAACCAAATTACGAATAAAAACATTCTTTGCCTATAACGTTAAATACTCTTAAGAGTAGTTTTGGACTTTTAAGTTAAAATGTTACCTCTTATCTCGTAATTTCCATAAAAGCCTTTATATCTCATGTAGCCATCAGTTTTGAACTCAATGAACATATAGTTGCTGGTTGAAGCCATCAGCCCAGGGGAATCTGACCAACAGAAGGTACCAAATAACGAAGCCGCATTTGTAGGACCATCGTATATTTTAAGGTAGTCATTGCTGCAGTGGCCCGCCAATAGAAAATCAGTAATTCTGTGGTTAAAAAACAAACAATAAATTATTTGATATATATTAGATAACCACAACCATTTGCATAACATATATAATCGTATGACAAAAATCACTTGTGTATCCGTCGTATATTTTAAGGATATATCCCACAGATGAAAAAAAATTGTATTTAACATGTAAATTAATAGCTGTTAACCTATAGACAAAAATATTATATAGCCGCCAATAGCATTTCTGTTTGCCATGGAAACCACGAAAAGGTGTGAAAACTAGCACCTTTTTAAACCTCTATAACGTTGTTACCACAATGTATTTTAAAAATCAGATAAAAGATTAAGATTTCTCAAGCAATTGTATACATTTCTGCGTTTTGTCATTGTGATAGCTTGTATTCAATTTTTAATATAGCTGTGCACATACAAATATGAACAAAAATTATGGGGTGGTGCTAAATAAGTATCAATGTTTCCTAGAGTATTGGAGTAAACTTTATGTACAAAACTATTATTGAAAATGGTATAATGCTATGCCAAACGGTTCCAGAGCCTTAGCAATTTTAATTTTGAATTTTACGTTCAAATGCAAAGTTGAGAAAAATTGAAAAGAAGACTGAAAATGGCACTGTACGATTCCTCTTAAAGGAAACAATAAACGACGACCTTTTTATGTGAAAGGTCCATTTGACTAATAAATACATGTTGATTTTAGTTATAAGTTTCAGATAGTTTTTATATAAGCAGAAATAATGTATGCATGAGAGACAATAATATATTCACTTCTTTTTCACCTAGTACTACTCTAAGAACAATTATTAACTAACCGGTTTAAATTCTGTTTGTTGGCCAGGTTTCTCACTTCAATATAATGCCTAAAACAATTAAATTTAACTTACACAAGTCTACTAACTCTTGATAAAAGTCAACCACCAAATCTTGTGTTCAGCGCTTGAGGATAGACACACGCCGACAGCCCGACACGCCCCACCCCCGCATGATTTCTAATGATGACGAGTTAGGGTCCGATGAGAAATATAGTACAAATGTTCATTCAACCTTGAGTAACACATCCGTGTGGTTAGGGTTGCATTGTTGCAGTGTGCATTGATGCATGTATGCAATGATCCATTGATGCGTGGATGCATGGATGCATTTATGAATTGATGCATTAAAGCACTGAAGTATTATGAATTGTTTAAATGAGGCATTTTTTTTGCTTATCCATTCAGTCGTTCATCCGTTAATCAGTTCATTCGGAATTGAATTTTGATTTTTTTCTGTAAAATATTAATTACGGACGGCTTTTGGTTCCCCTAAATAATTTTTATTATGCTGGCCGAGAAAACTGTATACATTTTTATGCGTAAGTTTTGATATGCAGATGTATACATTCAAATCAAATGTGAATAAAATGGTTAATTTCTTTTAATTTCTAAAATTGGAAGATGTTTTAAGTGAATCTTGTTTAAGATAACGTCATTAGTATTGTATATCACTTTCGACATTCGATTTTTGATTCTTCTTTTTATCATAAAATTTACGCCATTAGTGTTGTGTACTTTCCGTGGTAATTTTTTTTTTTAAATTAACATTGTTTGATACAAATATTTTTCTATTTATTTCGTGTGACGTCTCTCTTTTTGCCAGTGTGCTACTCTAGACCCTTCACAACTATAGACACTTCTCGAGTTGCATATTATCGATTTGTTTCAACATTCGACTATTATGCATTTCTTTTTTGTGTTTTTTTTTCCAGTCGTTAAATAAAATTGTGTTTATACATTTGATACATCAAAAATTTAAATTTTAACAATTGTTTCTGAAGATATTGATCGCGTAGCCTATATACATATGTTGCAGCCAGACAGAGGAAGAGATAGAGGAAGAGAACGAGAAATAGAAAATTGCGCTCATGGGCTTTTACATATTAGGATAATATATTTATCAATTTGTATATTCATAATTGGTATATTCTTGAATTTATATACTCACAGATTAGTTTTATATGTATATTCATATTTTCAAAAAATACTTAAAATTGCCAACCTACTTACATAACTATATCTTGTTCCTATTTCTATTCCTTATCCTAATCCTACTCCTAAATATATTCCTATTTCAATTATTGTAGTAATTTTAAGCTATTTTTTCATAGGAGTACACATTACCCAATTTCCTCTTACTTGCATTCATTCAATCATTCAAACATGCACACATTCATTTATGTTGCATTGATATATTTCTATGTCATGTTTTTATAAATTGATATATTTTTGCATTCGTATCATAATATGTTTATATATGCATGTTTCTGTGTCTACGTAGGATATATCTCAATTGGTATATCAATATTTTAAAATATTCGTTTTATCTGTATATTTATATTTTCATACATTCGTTGTTTTATTTTTATTTTCCCATTTTCACAGGTTTCTATGAACACTTTAACGTTAACATGTAATTGAGAAATGTAATAAGCAAACTTACTTAAGAGTGATGAACGTATCAGGATTGCCCCATATAGTCCAGGTGTAAAACATGTTGTCGAGGTAACCCAGTGGATATCCAGGACTAGAAATGAAACCTTGAGGCTCGGTCAGAGTGATGTTTGTATCTGTATGTTACATTACATTTATTAATTTTCATTTTGAAACGCAATGATACAATACTCTATACATACTGATATGTTACCATCAGATAAACTAATATTTAATAGTTACTGAAAAGTTTACTTTTTTTCTTTTTTTTTTTTAGTTTGTAGACGTTCAATGAAATAATTATTATTGTTCCTCTATTTTATGCATATTTTACTTTCAAAATCCGTACGCAAAGTTTTTAGATATGGGTATACAATACAATTTAGACAACTCTTTGTTTTCATTCCAGGCCTTACACAAGTTTTTAATCTTTACATACATCTTGGTTTTCTTTTAAAAATTACGTACATTTTTTACGCTAAAAAACGCACTGTACAATAAGGGAGTATGTTTATCTTTTTATTGGCCATGAAACAAGTGTTATTATTAGATTTCTATTTATTTTCATATTATTTTGAAAACTTAAATTTTTTAATTCTGGCATAAGTACATCCCTTTTAAATATA